GTAGGCCACTTCGTGTTCTTCTAGTTCCCAGAACTCCATTCCTGGGCCACATTTTGAATGCTGAGGCAGGCTGATGCTGCAGGCGAGGCTGAGGCTGAGGCTGAGGCAGGCTGAGGCTGAGGCCGAGGCTGAAGGCAGACTGAGGCTGAGGCTGCAGGCTGAGGCTGAGGCTGCAGGCTGAGGCTGAGGCTGATGCAGGCTGAGGCTGAGGCAGGCTGAGGCAGGCTGAGATGCAGGCTGAGGCTGAGGCTGAGGCTGAGGCAGGCTGAGGCTGAGGCTGAGGCTGGCAGGCTGAGGCTGAGGCAGGCTGAGGCTGAGGCTGAGGCAGGCTGAGGCTGAGGCTGTGACTGCGACTGCCGTTGCCACTGCGACTCTCATCGCGAATGCGACTACGACTGCGAGAACAGCAGAATTCTACAACTGGATTCTCATCTGAATCTGAAGGGGAATGCTTCCAGATATGCTCCTGCACATCGCTGTTAGGTTGCTTTGCCGGGATAATTTTTGTTTCCCTCGAAAATCCCCCTGCAGGGGGACACGCCCGACTGAAGAGCAGCCGCTGCCCAGCCACCGGCCCCAGGGCCTGGCGGCCCAGCAGCGGCCGCTGCCGGGGAGGAGGGGCCGCGCCAGCTGGGGCCTGCGCAAATTAGGCACGCAGGGGTCGATTACACTTCTCTCGGGCCTGCCCCCCCTACAGGGGGATTTTTTCGACGAGAAATAAAGAATACCCCCCAAATAGTTAAAACACAGTCCACACATAGTCTGGGGACTATGAGTTTTTTTTTTTTTTTTTTTGTTTTTGCATTTTTGAGGTATTTACCTAACAGCGAACACTGATAGGTTTCTAGTGGGGTCAAAAGAGAGCAGCAGATGACTCCACAGGGGGGTCCGGGCGGGACCCGGGGCGGCTGCCGCCGAAGCCCAAATCGCTTGGGACTTCCTCGCAAAATCGCTCTTGGCGCTGCTAGAACTCCATTCCCGGCGTACATTTTGGATGCCTGGAGCCAACTGTAGGCCACTTCGTGCTCTTCGAGTTCCCAGAACTCCATTCCCGGGCCACATTTTGGATGCCCGGAGCCAACTGTAGGCCACTTCGTGGTCTTCGAGTTCCCAGAACTCCATTCCCGGGCCACATTTTGGATGCCCGGAGCCAACTGTAGGCCACTTCGTGCTCTTCGAGTTCCCAGAACTCCATTCCCGGGTGCATTTTGGATGCCCGGAGCCAACTGTAGGTCACTTCGTGCTCTTGGAGTTCCCAGAACTCTATTCCTGGGCATGATTTTGAATGCCCGGAGCCAACTGTAGGCCACTTCGTGTTCTTCGAGTTCCCAGAATTCCATTCCTTGGCCACATTTTGAATGCTGAGGCAGGCTGATGCTGAGGCTGAGGCTGAGGCTGAGGCAGGCTGAGGCTGAGGCCGAGGCTGAAGGCAGACTGAGGCTGAGGCTGAAGCAGACTGAGGCTGAGGCTGAGGCAGGCAGGCTGAGGCTGAGGCTGAGGCAGGCTGATGCTGAGGCAGGCTGAGGCTGAGGCTGAGGCTGATGCAGGCTGAGGCTGAGGCAGGCTGAGGCTGAGGCTGAGGCTGAAGGCTGAGGCTGAGGCAGGCTGAGGCTGAAGGCAGACTGAGGCTGAGGCTGCAGGCTGAGGCTGGCTGAGGCAGGCTGAGGCTGAGGCTGAGGCAGGCTGAGGCTGAGGCAGGCTGAGGCTGAGGCTGATGATGCTGGCTGAGGCTGAGGCAGGAGGCTGAGGCAGAGGAGGCTGAGGCTGAAGGCTGAGGCCAGGCTGAGGCTGAGGCTGAGGCAGGCTGAGGCTGAGGCTGAGGCTGAGGCTGCAGGCTGAGGCTGAGGCAGGCTGAGGCTGAGGCCGAGGCTGAAGGCAGACTGAGGCTGAGGCTGAAGCAGCTGAGGCTGAGGCTGAGGCAGGCTGAGGCTGAGGCTGAGGCAGGCTGATGCTGAGGCAGGCTGAGGCTGAGGCTGAGGCTGATGCAGGCTGAGGCTGAGGCAGGCTGAGGCTGAGGCCGAGGCTGAAGGCAGACTGAGGCTGAGGCTGAAGCAGGCTGAGGCTGAGGCTGAGGCAGGCTGAGGCTGAGGCTGAGGCAGGCTGATGCTGAGGCAGGCTGAGGCTGAGGCTGAGGCTGATGCAGGCTGAGGCTGAGGCAGGCCTGAGGCTGAGGCCGAGGCTGAAGGCAGACTGAGGCTGAGGCTGAAGCAGGCTGAGGCTGAGGCTGAGGCTGAGGCTGAGGCCGAGGCTGAGGCTGGCTGATGCTGAAGCAGGCTGAGGCTGTGGCTGAGGCTGAGGCAGGCTGGTGCTGAGGCAGGCTGAGGCTGAGGCCGAGGCTGCAGGCAGACTGAGGCTGATGCAGGAGCAGGCTGAGGCTGAGGCTGAGGCAGGCTGAAGCTGAGGCTGAGGCTGATGCTGAGGCAGGCTGAGGCTGAGGCTGAGGCTAATGCAGGCCACTGCGACTGTCATCGCGAATGCGACTACGACTGCGAGAACAGCAGAACTCTACAACTGGATTCTCATCTGAATCTTAAGGGGGATGCTTCCAGACATGCTCCTACACATCGCTGTTAGGTTGCTTTGCCGGGATCATTTTGGGGTACTTTTTGTTTTTCGTCGAAAATCCCCCTGTAGGGGGACACGCCCCACAAAAGGCTACACGTGGGAGTGACCCTTCGCCGGAGTGACCATTGGGGCGGCCCCACTGGGGCCCCCCAGTCGCCGAACAATTCGCCGAGTGCGAGGCGATGGCAGCGGCTTGGGCGCCTGGACTTGGCCCCCCGGCAGCCCCCCCAGAAGCCGCGCACCGGAGGTCACTCTTGCCCGGTGCCCGGGGTCGCTCCTGCGTGCAGCCCAGAGGGTCAAGTCGGGCCTGTCCCCCTCTACAGGGAGATTTTCAACGAAAACTTGAAAATACCCCCAAAGATACCCCAAAAGGTCAAAAAACAATCCAGAAATAGTCCCTGGACTACTTTTGGAGCGTCTTTTGCTTTTTTTTGTGTGTGTATTTTTAACCTTTCGTCGAAAATCCCCCTGTAGGGGGACAGGCCCGACCTAACCAGAGGGGCCAGGGCGAGCACCGAGGGCAAGAAGCAGGCGGCCTCACGCGCGGGTCGCCCGCGCCCCGCGCGCGCCGCCTGCCTGCGCAGAGTGCTGTCGCGCCGCGGGCTCCGCCCGCCTGCAGAGCTCGCTGCCCAGCCTCGTTCCTCGTTCCTCCTCCTCCTCCTCCTCCTCCTCCCCCTCCTCCTCCTCCTCCTCCTCCCTCCTCCTCCTCCCTCCTCCTCCTCCTCCCTCCTCCTCCTCCTCCTCCTCCTCCTCCTCCTCCTCCTCCTCCTCCTCCTCCTCCTCCCCCTCCCTAGCTGCTCCTTTTCGATCACGCGTACGAGTGTCAGGAGGGGAAAACACACGCAGACACAATTAATCGTCGATACCCCAGAAACTATGGGAAACTATGGGAAGTGGGGGGGAAGACGGAAACCCCAAATATAGGGAAAATATAGGGGGATCCTTTTATTTGTGTGTATTTATTTGCGTGTCCCAGGGCACCTTCAGAGTGACCCTTCGCCAGAGTGATCTTTCGGTGCGGGCCCACCGGGGTCCCCCGATCGCTGAACGCGAAGCGGTAGAAGCGTCTTGCGGGCCTGTGTTTGGTCACCCCGCGGCCCCCCACAAAACCGCGCACCAGAGGTCACCCTTACCTAGGGTCACTCCTGCGCGTAGCTGACCCTTCTTCCTCCGCTTTCCTCCCCCTCCTGCGTTTTCTGTTCCTGCTGCTCATCCCTCCCCCGCCTCCCGCATCCGGCTTCTCCCGCTCTCCCGGCCCGCGCGCTCCTGCTCTTGCTGCTCCTTCTCCCTGTCCTCCTCACGATATTGGTCCTGCTTTTCCTCTTCCTCCTCCTGCTTTTCCCCTGCCCCCCTCATACTCCCTCCTCCGCGGCGAGCCCTGGAAGTCTCGAGGAACATCCGAAATCATAGAAGACGCCCGCGAAAGACTAAGGCAACTTTTCAAAACAGGTGCAACCATGAGAAAACAGTCGAAAGCATTGGACCACCTGTTCCACCTTCCTTTCTCCTCCTCCCCACCTCCTTTTCCTTGTCCTCATCGTCCTCCCACTTCCCCTTCTCGTCCTACACAGCTTCCTCCTCCGCCTCCTCCACCACCGTTGCCCCTTTGTTCTGTCCGTCCTTCTCCCCCTCCTCCAGTTCTTGCTCGTCCTCCCCCTCTTTCTCTGTCTCCTTGTCCTGCTTCGCCGCCTCCTCGTCGCCCTCACAGCCCCCCTCCGCTTCCTCCTCGTCCTCCTCTCCTCCACCCTCGTTCCCGCTTCCCCCCCTCCTCTTCCGAGGCCAGGACCCGAAGGAGGAGCGGAACTCGCACAACTCGGACGATGAGGACGTCGCATCCGCGCGCTCCCTCTGCGTGGATGTAGGCAATGGGACGTGGCGTTTCCTCGGCACGGCGCCTCCCGGCACATCTACTGGGGCCTCGCAGCGGGCAGGCCGTGCTGGCCGTTGCCCGAGAGCGTGCCTACGGGCGGCCCTTTGCTCAGGAAGCGCTGTGAACTCGAGGCTGCGCTGCGGTCTCCATCCCGCTGGCGCAGGGGGCAAACGCCGACTCCCGTGCAGAGGCGTGTCTGGGCTGCCCTGGACTAGGGTGTATTCTTTTTCAGCCGGGCGGCCTCCGCATACGTTTTTTTTGTTTCTCCAGCACGAAGCCCCGACATGAGTTTTCTTGACGGCCGTTGGTCCGTCTCCGAGCTGAGCGCTCTTGAACATGCTTCCCTTTACGCGGGTGCGTAGCACTCGTGCTGAGCAGATGCCTTGAAGGGGGATTCAATGCAAAATCTCTCCCCCTTCCTCTTTCTCCCCGCCCTCGCTCTTATCGCCCTTGTTCACCCTCATCGCTGCTGCTGGATCCGCCTCGAAATCCAGGGCAGAACGCACCCTGTGAGAGGTCCAGGGTTCTTTCTCTCAGGAGGGGTCAGCACCTCAGTGGACCCCGGAAACAGCAGGGCCATTTTTTTACCGTTTCCGAAAAAGTGTCTTTTGAAAATTGATGCGACAAAAAACGGTAACGGAACCGGCAAACAAAACAGTGTCGGAACCGGCAAAAGTAACGGCAAAACGGAACCGGTAAAACTTCGGCCCTGTCGATTCCAGGGCCTACTAAGGTCAGCACCCCAAGGCCCTCGGTGTGGCATGCGAGTTCTTTGATCTCGAGGTGGCCAAGTCGGAAGCCACCCTCGCCAGTAGGTTGCCGCTTCCCCTCGGCTTTTCGAGGCCTCGGGGGAGGCCGGCAGCGACTTCGAGCTCGAGCCAGGCGCCGACTGTCCCCTCTAAGATTTTCCCCCCCGTGGTCGCCCGCAGGCACCAGCGCCTGTTACAGCATCCTTCCACTCCACTCCTCTCGCTCGCCACCTCGCTGGGCGGTGCGATCGGACCTTCTCGTGTTCCTTGTGGCTCCTCGGAAGGGTGCGAGGCAGGTCCTTCTCCGGACGGAGCTGTCGCCTGAGCGGCAGGCCAAGAGAGAGAGAGAGCTGGCCTTTCCAGGGGGCGCCTCTTGGAGGGGAGGGGAAGGCGTGTATGACTTGTGAGGGGGGGGCGACTTGGGACGGAATGGGGCAGTGCAGGCACCAGCGCTAGTTGACTAGAGCTCGCGGCCACCGTGTCCGGAGCGGTGGCCGCTGCGTCGAGCGGAGGCTGCGTCGCCTCGCCCCCGCAGGCGGCGGGACCCTTCGAGGAGCCTCCCGGGAGACGTCCGCCGTGCGATTCCGCGCGCCGCCCGGCTCTGCACACCTCCGTGCTCGGGACCCATCGAGCCCGCGCGAGGGCGCTGCAGAGCGAGCCCCGCCGCCGAGGGGCCCGCGGGTTGGCCCCCCCCCGACCCTGGGCGGAGGGCAGCGGGGGGCCCGCCCGCGGACGTCGGCGGAGGCAAGGGGCACGAGGGCGGCCCTGCGGGCGGCAGCTGGCGCGAGGATCGGCTCGCCGCCGACGGAAGGCAGGCCCCGAGTCTCGAGGACTGTCGCCCGCCTCGGGCCCGGAGCCTCCCCGGGGCCCCGGGGCTGTGCGAGCGAGCTGCCCAGGATGAAGGGCTGGTTCTGGGGGAACCAGGAGGGGAAAAACACACACAGACACAATGAATCGTCGATTCCCCAGAAGATATGGGAAAATATGGGGAGTGGAGGGGAAGACAAAAACCCAGAACATATGGGAAGATATGGGGAACCCTTTTATCTCTGTGTATTTATTTGTGCGTCCCAGGGCCCCTTCGGGGACGTCCCGAGGGGTGCAGCACCCGCCTCCCTCTCAGGACCCGCTTCCTTCAAGCAAGCGCCCCCCCCCTCTCCCCTGCGAGAGGGCAGCGCCGGTGTCCCCAGGCTCTCCGCAGTCGGCCCCCTACCGCTGGATTTTGGCACACGCCTGCTTCTCATGGAGTTCCTGTGCCCTGTCTCCTTGATTAAAGCTGCGCGTGGGCCGCCTAGATTTTAGCGGAAGAGGTTCGCTCTCGCCCCGCAGACCAAAAAACTGCTTCTCATGGAGTGGAGTCCCTGCTGGGCGGCCCAGCCGCTATCAAACGACGTTCGCGCCGCTCTGTTGATGTGGCGGGGCCGTCGGCTCGCCATCGTGTAAGAAGCTCGTCCGTTTTTTATCCGAGCCCATTCCTCGTCCTGGTGTTTCTTTTCCTCGTCCTCTTCGCCATCTCCTTCCCTCTCCTCCTCGTTGCCCTTCTCGTCCTCACCCCGCTCCTCCTCCTCTTCCTCCTCCTCCTCGCCACGTTTCCCCTCCCTCACATCCAGGAGGTCTCCTCGAACCTCGGAGGACGGCTGAACTCCCCTTTTGGCACGCCCCCGAGCGCTCGGGCGCGGGGAGGATGGAAGCAGAGGAACTGAGGATAGAGGGGAGGGCTGGAGGAGCTGAGGGCAAGGATGGGGGTGGAGGTACAGCCAGACCGAGGCATCAGAGCGAGATCGGTTCTGGGAGGGTGCCCCTGGATGTTCTTCGTGTTTGTTTGGCGTTCTGGTGCATCCTGGGGAGGACACCCTTGGATGTTCTGTGCGATTTGGCCGGCAGATGGTCGCGTGTTCTTGGGGGATATTCTTCTGGCCTAGGGTCCCACTGTAGGTGGAGGGGCAAGAGTAAGAATAAGAGTAAGAGTCGGCCACGCGCCAGAGGGGGGTAGGGGGAGAGGGGAAAGCTCCTTAGAAGCACCCCTGCTTCTAAGAAGCCTTTCCCCCTCCCCCTACCCCCTTGTGCGCGCTGCCAAAAGAGTCCCAGGACGGTGTCTTATCATTATTGAATCAGAATGAGAGCCCCTCTGGGCTCTCCTGGCCAACTCGGATCTACGATATACCTTGGGCCATGGGTTATCATCAGTCTTGGCAGGCCAGCCACAATTGGGGGAGCTGTGGCCTTTACCCCCCTGGGGGGCCCATCGATTTCGACTCCCCTTTCGAGAGATCGTCGATGCGATGGGTTCCCCCAGGAGGGTAAGGACCACAGCTCCCCCATTTATGGCTGGTCTGCTTGGTTACGTAAGCAGCACGGGTGGTGTGGCCCATTATAGACACTCTCTGTCCAGCCTTGGAAGCTGCTGGTCGACAAGCATGCCACATACAGCGGCCAAACAAACATTCGCATCTTTTTGATATCGCATTCGGTGAGGCTCGTTCACCCACCGCCAGCGATGTATAACTTTGCCCACCAAAGGGAGCCGTCAAGTCAAGGGCAATGAGCTGAGAGCACGGCGACGCCCTCCACCGACGGAGACAGACACAGTGTCGGGGCACGGCGGAGGCCACACACGCTGCAAAGGGGGAGGAGGAGGATGAGGATGAGGATGAGGATGAGGATGAGGAGGAGGAGGAGGAGGAGGAGGAGGAGGAGGAGGAGGAGGAGCAGCAGGAGCAGGAGCAGGAGGAGGAGGAGGAGGAGGATCAGTGCAAACCTAAGATCTCTCTTCATACGCCCCTACAAGGGGTCATTTTCACTGGGGGAAGTGTTCCGTTTGGTGACAACCGTGTGAACATGGTGAAGTGTGCCAAAACACCATTCTCAGGACTTCAACGCCACGAGTGAACCTGACTGCTACGTCTTTGTGATCCCGAATCGCGCCAGAACGCCATTCCTGGGACTTCACCACCGCGAATCAACGTAACCGTTGCGCCTTGGCAATCCTGAGTCGTTCCAGAACATGGTTTCTGGTGCGTCAGCCATGACAACCAGTAACAATGTTGCACATGTTTTAAGCGAATGTGCGCGGCGCTAAAGCGAGAGCCACCTTTTGACAAGGAACCGCCCTCAGTTCGTGCACCTCTGGCAAACATGTAGAATGAATGTGCGCGAGGCTGAGGCGAGAGCCACATTTTGAAAACGACCCGCCCGCAATCCGTGAAACTCCTGCAGTCTTTTAAACCGTATGCGCGCGGCGCTAAGGCGAGAGCCACAGTTTGAAACCGACCCGCCCTCAATCCGTGAAGCTGTTGCATAGAGTTAAAGCGAAAATGCGCGGCGCTACGGCGAGAGCCACATTTTGAAAAGGAGCCGCCCTTACTCCGTGATCCTTCGGCAGATGCTTAGATCGGATTTGCGCGGCGCTAAGGCGAGAGCCACAGTTTGAAAAAGAACCACCCTCACTCCGCGAAGCTCTTACACATTTGTAGAGCGAATGTGCGCGGCGCATAGGCTGGAGCCACATTTTGAAAAGGAACCGCCCTCAATCCGCGAAGCTCTTACACAGTTGTAGAACGAATGTGCGCGGCGCATAGGCGAGAGCCACATTTTGACAAGGAACCGCCCTCAATCCGTGAAACTCCTGCACATTTGTGATAACGAATGTGCACGGCGCTGGCGAGAGCCACATTTTGACAAGGAACCGCCCTCCGTCCGTGCAGCTCTGGTAACTATTTAGAACGACTGTGCGCGAGGCTAAGGCGAGAGCCACAGTTTGAAAACGACCCGCCTTCAATCCGTGAAGCTGATGTATTTGTTTAGGACGAATGAGCGTGGCGCGGAGGCGAGAGGTACATTTGAAAGCTACCATCCCTCCATCTGTGAAATTCTCGTCAATTCTTGAGCATCAGGGTCATACGTGCTGAGGAAATCTCAGGCGAAACGCCCGGCCTGCCCTTTCCACCGGCCTCGGGGTGCGAACGGCCTCGGGGTGCGAAAAGGAATGGAGGAGGAGGATGAGGAGGAGGAGTAGGATGAGGAGGAGGAGGAGGAAGAGGAGGAGGATGAAGAAAAAGAGAAGGAGGAGGAGGAGGAGGAATAATAATACGAGGAGGAGGAGGAGGAGGAGGAGGAGGAGGAGGAGGAGGAGGAGGAGGAGGAGGAGTAAGATAACACCTCTCACCACTCGGATCCGTCCGCCTGTCCAGGCGTCTTCGCTCCTGCTTGGCCAGCTCAGCCATGGCCTCCATGGAGTCGAAGGCTACTCGCAGCAACCGCATTCTTGAAAGACGCGCTCGATGCTCGACCTGATCGACACGACCCTCTCCTGGCTCTAGCAACCATGCTAACTAAGCCGCCCCTCCAGCAACCACGTCGGCCATAGCATTTCCACAGAGGAGCGAGCTGGTGGCGCCTGTCGATGCACCAATTCTCTGGAAGGGAGGCGGGGGAGGGAGGGGAGCGAGCAGTGAAAAGGAGGGACAAGGAGGGACGAGGAGGGACGAGGAGGGACGAGGAGGGAGAGCAGAGAGGGTTGCCGAAGGACTACGACGAGTTCGGGCGCAAGAAGAAGAAGACGCTGTCCAAGGCCGACCGGCAGAAGGCCGCCCTGGAGCGCCTGAAGAACAAGGCTCGACCAGCAAGGGAGGCGGAGGGAGGCGAAAGCAGGCTTGTGCCTCAAGACGAGGAGACGGAACACCTCGGGGACGCCTCCTCGTGGCCGCTGCCGGACGCAGAACTGGCCAGGAGGGCGTCCAGGAGAGGTCGGGGGAGGCTGAGCCGGCAGGGAGCGGGAGGAGGGGGAGGAGGGCATTCCTCCGCCTCCTCCTCCTCCTCCTCCTCCTTCTCCTCCTCCTCCTCCTCCTCCTCCTCCTCCTCCTCCTCCTCCTCCCCCTCCTCCTGAGGGAAACGGGTCCTGAGGGAAACGGGCCCTGGACCCGTAGGGTTTTCCCCGGGAGCGGTTCTGCATCCAGGGTGGCTCCTTTCACGGTCCCCGGGCCCGTGAAGGGCCCCGAGGGGCCCGCAGTCGGCGACCAGTTCCTAGAACGCTTTGCCTCGCTGACCCTCTCTCTTCGTGCTGACACAGGCGGCACGAAGTGGGGAGGAGGGCATTCGACCTCCACCCTCCGCGTTTTCCCGCGCGGATGCGGCAGGTCGTTGCCGCCTCTGCGCGGCGGCGACGCCAGGTATGGAGCGTCCTCTGGGTGCTCTTTTCGGGGCCCTGGGCCTGGAGAAAACTGAAGCACACAACGGCGCGATATCCACACAGACGAAGGATGGTGTCCACACGCACGCAGGATGTGTCGTGGTACTATACCGTGAACAGTGCCGACGTCGTCGAGGCAGGAACCTGCCGTAAGGCAGCTCAGCCAGGAGGGGAGATGTATGGGAGAGGGGTCTGGCGAGGGAGGTTGGGGGAGGAGGAGGGGAGGGAGAGGGAAGGGGAGGGGTCGTCGAGGCAGGAACCTGCCGTAAGGCAGCTCAGCCAGGAGGGGAGATGTATGGGAGAGGGGTCTGGCGAGGGAGGTTGGGGGAGGAGGAGGGGAGGGAGAGGGAAGGGGAGGGGAATGGGGGAGGGGGGAAGAAAGGTGATGGAAGGGGAAGGGAAGGGGAAGGGAAAGGAAGGGGGATGGGGGAGGGAAGGAGGTGGAAGGGGAAGGGGAAGGAGGTGGAAGGGGAAGGGGAAGGTGATGGAAGTGTGAATCCAGGGGCCCAGACCTCCGGCGTCGTGTCTTTTGGTTCGCAGCGTGGGCCCCCGGATGTCCCCACAAGCCCGTGCTGCCTCGATGCGCCCGTTTTGATATACGCAACACGTGCCGTGCTCAGAACGTCCTCTCCACTACGTTACGTGCTGGCTCAACGTATTGGCCCACGTTCTGGCGAACGCATCGCGTCAGACCTACGACCTACGTTTTCGGTCCACGTGTTGATCTCGCATCAATGCGGTACGTGTTGTGTGTCGCGTATCGGGGCAGCTAAGGTCCCGACCCTTTCCTTGGACCGGCTCCTCATCCCGAGTCGCTTCGTTGACGGTCTCGAGGCCCTGTGAGGGTCGACTACAAAAGAGTGACCCTTCGCCGGAGTGACCTTTGGTGCGGACCCATTGGGGTCCCCCGATTGCCGAACGCGGTGCGACAGTACAGACGCCCCGCATGGTAAGGATGGGCAACCTTCCCAAGGGTACCCTCGCATCCTTGCCTCCTCGGCCCATCCTTGGCCGCTTTCGTTGGCCGCGCCCCGCTCGAAGAGCTTCGACGTGGGCGTCCAAGGCACTTACCTGTATCGCACATCCTTATGATACGGGTTGACTGTAGTACTGTCTTGCGCTCTCGTGTTTGTCCCCCCCGCGTCTCCACTGTTGTACCCAGGGCCGCTCTTGCGTGCAGCCGCGAGGGCGCCGCAGGCCAAAACACAACCTTCCGCCATGCCGAGCTCGCGGCACCATAGGGGGGGGCTCTTCCTCCTCCTCCTCCTCCTCCTCCTCCTCCTCCTCTTCCCCCTCCCCCTCCCCCTCCTCCTCCTCCTCCTCCTCCTCCTCCTCCTCCTCCTCCTCCTCCTCTTCCCCTTCCTCCCCCTCCTCCTCCTCCTCCTCTCCTCTCTCTCCTCCCTCTCCTCCCTCTCCTCCCTCTTCTCTCACTGGAGGCGAGGAGGATAATCTGATGACGAGGGGCTGAATCAGGTCAAGCAGGCGTTCTCAATGAGTTTTTTGGGCCCAGGGGCCCTCACGCATTGACCCGGCTCGAGAGTGAGATGGGGTTCATGGCTCCAGTCGTGGTTCCGGACGAGGCTGCATGTTTTTCGCGACGTCGGAGCTCAGTGGGAGACGCAGTTTCTCTTCCTCCTGCTCCTGGCTGTGTTGCGTGCGGTAGGCCGCGCTAGCGCCCTTCGCCTGCGATGCGGGGCTTGCCACTCTGGGCATATTAATGTCAAGACATCGTTAAGCAGCAGCTCCTGTTTTTCTTTCTGCGCATTGCGGGTGCGCTGGTGGGTGGCAGTGGCTCGGCCTAGCCTGCCTCCCCCACCGGGGCATGGGGCAGGGGCGCGACGGAGACGGGGTGGAACGGGAGCCCTCACGGGCTCCGCGCTCTTGCGTATGGCTTGCTCCGTTCTTGTGCTGCAGCGCGCGCGCGCGCGCTTCTGGCCCGCGCCAGAAGAGGCAGCATGGTCTGCAGCCTGCCCTCGGCGTCGCACTAACATACTGACTCAATGTGTGCGTCGTCCCCCCTGGGGCGACGCGTGCGCCGAGAAATCTTATAGTATCTGATTCGTGGCGGGCGATTTCTGGCCATTACGCTCGGGAAGCGACATGCTGCAGGATGTTTGTACTATACGTT